ATGTAAAAGTTTTGGAAATGGATAGTGGTGATGGTTCCACAACAATGTGAATGTACTGAATGCCACTGAATTGCATGCTTAAAAATGATTATAATGGTAAATTTGATGTTATCTATATTTTACAACTACAAATTTTTTAAAAGAGTAAGGTGTTAAAGGCTACATTGATGAATAACTGCATTCATTGCTCCTCTGATCACAAGGGAGCTAGAAATCTATGTAATTTGAGTATTAAAGTAAATCTGACCTTACTTATACTTGTAAGCCAGGGATGTCTGGAGAATTCTGAACTACATTAAAAAAAAAATCTGATACACAAAATTACAAGCAGAATCGGGGAATCTTTTTATTTGATAAATTTCTTAAAGCCTTTAAAGTATTTATTTTAAATAGATTCCCATCCACTTATCTTGCTCAACTATACTCAGACCCAGGTAAGATTCAAAAGGCAACACTAGAAAATGCTTATGCAGCAGTTCTTACAAAATTGCTCTATGAATTCTACTGTGTGGAACTTTGAGGCTGGCTTTTTAGCATACTCAACTCATATGCAACATCAAACCCCATTGCCCAATCTTCACACTTTACTGGGAATCCTAATCAACTGGGCATTTTGTTAAAATGCAACTTCTGATTCAAGAGGACTGGTGTGGGGCCTTTGACTCTGAATTTGTAAAAAACTCCCAGGTGAGAATTCCTGTCTGACAACCATACTCTGAGCAGCAAGGCACTCAGCGGTGCTCCCTGTGGGTTTGGTTTATATGAAATTTTCTCCCACTAGAATGCAAGCTACCTGGTGTGGAGCAACCAAGACTCATAACTATGTATTTCTTCCAGCATCTAGCGTAATGCTTCATGCAAACATAGAAGTCCGGTAATGCTGGTAACAATGATTAAAGTATAGAAAGTAAACAGCATATACAGAGGGGCCAGAGGAAGAAGATATTTATTAGAAAATAAAATGGAAAACCTGTGAATATTCTATGATATCCTGAATGAATCAATTTTGTTTAGTAAAATAAATGAATTGTACAACATTTGAATGCACAGATGATCTTGAGGAAAGGGCACAGCACCTAGAAACATATTTAGGGAAAAGCAGAGATGATGATTTCAGCTTTCAAATCTCAAAGAGGTGTATCTCACTGCACACATAAAAATGGCTGATTTCACTTCTAAGGATTTTGTGTGTGTTGGCCCCATGTAATAATTTCACAATGGATCTAACATAGAGTGCTTTTCCCTTAAGCAATCTTGAATGTTTCCCAAGCATTGTTGTTCTTTTTTAGAATAAGTCTATAATATAGGCCTCAGGAAATACATCTCATTTTAGGGTGTAAGAAAATAAGATAATACAGTATAAAATAATCATGTTATACAGTGTAAGTTAGAGCAGATCCTTGTCGATGTATGAAATAAAAAATTTCCAAATAGTAACAAGGTTGCCAGTGAGAAATATTATGTTGAAATAGGTTGTGGATACTAAGTTTGTACAAGTTCTGTTTTTTAAGCAAAGAAACAAACATTCTATCTGGTAGTCTTCCTATGATGCTAATTTTTCTGAGGTCATGACTTTTATTACTAGATGGGCAGATTTATTTCTCAACTAAACTACATTTGAGGTGCTTACACTTCCCCCTGCACTGATTTCTTCCATTTGCTATAGCACAGAGACTGAAGTATAATACTCATTTTTTCCATCAGAAATGTACTTCCAATATAGCTTTCTCCATTGGTACCACTGACAAAGGAAAGCAGAGTTAAAGGCCTCATCCATCTTGTGGTTCCCGTCTGAAGAACGTGCAGTCTAACCCATCTACTGAAAGCAGATCTAATGAACAGACACCCTCCTTTCCTGACAGTCTCATGCTTTGGTCTCTGTAAACTGGAGGCTATAAATCTGACAGCAGCATTACAGACTCTGAATTGAATGTATATTTTTTGTCCTTACCCAAGGATATGTTCATTAATTTTTAGAAAGACTGAAAGGGAGAAAGAGAGAGACAGACACAGAGAGAGAGAAACATTGATTGGTTACCTCCCATACATGCCCCAGTTGGGAATGGAACACGCAACCTTTTTGGTGTATAAGGTGATGTTCTAACCAACTTGGCCACCTGGCTAGGACTGAATGTACAATTTAACTGATAAACTCATGTTCTCCATTTGAAGAATTATAATAAAACAAATGTATGCTGATTTTCTAACATGGATTCATTTTTTGGTTAGAGAGTTAATGTGGCTTGAGCCCTTAATACATATGAATTTTTTAAAGACTGGTTTCTTTAATCTACTAGTTCTCATCTCTCTCTCCCCAACTATTTTTATTGAAAGGCTCTAAAATTTCTTATTCCAAATTACATGAAACATTGATTAACCCCATGGATTTATTTAAGAGCTTTTGTTATTGGGTATTTTAGAAAGGCTCAGAGGCAAACAGGTAGAAATTCTGTAATTAATCAGGATTGCCTGGCTTGTTGCTACAGTGGCAGTGAATTGGTTCCCAGTAGGAGAGTTAATAGAAAAACATTCAATTTCAAAATGACCTGGATGCATTAAAGGGATTAAGCTGTAATGCTTTTAATCCCTGTAACTCAAACAAAGGGAAAATTTTCTTGAGCGATGAACTGCATAATGTATTTGTGGGGCAGCAAATGATATCTGTTGAACATCAGCTAAACAGCCCAGTCTGTAGCCCAGGGATTGCACTTGGCACAGCCAGAATGATGGCTCAGGGGATTTAGCAGCTTTTAAACTCTAGGGTTGGAGTGAATCTAAAATGGGTGCTGTTTCAGGAGGTTCCAGTCTCTGGAGCTTCCAAGTGGTCAGACATCCTGCTGATCAACTTTTAGGTAAAAACTCCCAGGCAGGAATGGTGATTATGTGACAGATAGCCTTCAACTTCCCCATCTCTGGAGCCCATGACAAACACTGTTCTTTCACCATGGCATCCTGTCCCGTCAATAATGTATCCAAGTTCAATTCTATTTGCTGTCAGTCTTCCAGGATGAAATTTTTAAAAAATAATATAAATTATTTAGTCTCCGTGATCAAATTCCTCAGTTTCCAAAGATCTGGTAGAAAATGTCAAATAGCATAAAGGTATAACTCAAAATGTATATTTTTCAAATAAACTATGTTTGTATTATTTTGGAGGCTTCTGGGTATTTTTCTAATGAAGCTTTCTGTTCATATTGGGTACCTTCTATTCTTCTATCTTATTGTTCACTGGTTCTTTCCTCTCTCTTCTCCTTTGATGTTGAGTTTATTTACTGAATTTTAAAAAAATTTCAATTAGTATATTTTTCACGTCCAGAATTTATATTTGGCTTGTACTTATATTTTTTATTTCTTTGCTGAGACTCTCTATTTCTTTTTCTTTATTTTGAAAGGAGAAAGGCAGAGGGTTTTGAATCCATACCAAAAGGAGGGAAAAAGAACTCTACATGGACACAGAGCAGTACAAGTAAGACCCCAGAGGCTTGAAATAGTCCAAGTTGGCGAATTATGATGTGTTCCAACCATAAAGTGAAAGAAAGGATGGAAGGAGATGAGGTTAGAGAAAGGGGTTTCAGGCTGTCCTCATGTGGAAGTCATTACAAAGCCTCTCTTTCCCACACTCCCTCCTAACTCTTTCTCCCTTTCACTGGGTTCATCTATTTTCTTTAAAATAACCCCTCAATTGAAAACAATCAATGATAGACATCATTCTTTTTGAGGTTGTTTTATCTTGCTTCAAAACAGCCCTGACTGGTTTGGCTCAGTAGATAGAACATTGGCCTACGGACTGAAGGGTCCCATGTTCGATTCCGGACAAGGAGAGAGAGAAAGAGGGGAAGGGGGGTGAGGGGGAGAGGGGATGAGTTTGCTCTCTCTAGTGTAAGGATTTTAAAGAAAGAAAGCTTTTTTGCTTTCTTTCTAAACTATCTTTAAAATCTTTCTCTACACATTATTTTTCAAATATGTGGCTGATCTTAAATATCTTTACTTTCTGTATACATTCATGTGAATGTATTTCTATGTGAAAAGTGTGTGTATAAGAGTATGAGTACATTATATTCTGCTTGATTAAAAAATCTGGCTTATGACACAAGAAGAGAGATTGGTTACATAGGAGATCATACTGTCCAGGCTGTTCCAACTCTTAAGAGTCTCTTCTATTCATAGAAGCTCAGCAGGGCAATTATGAATGTGGGTCTAGGTTCAGTGACGCCTGATCAAATTCCTGATCTGCCTTTTACTGGCAGTATTGCTTCAGTGACTTTGTAAACCCGTTTTCTCATCTGTAAAATATTCACCATCATATTATCTATATCACACAAGATAATTCATGTAAAGTGCTTACCATCGTGCCTGACATATGATACAGATGCAGTAAATGTTAGGTATTAGGATTACAATTTTGGATTAATTACGTAAATATCCTGTTAAGACAGGCACAGTGTATTGGTCTGGAGACAGGGCATCAGTATTGTATTTTCTTCCTGAAAAAATGCTCCGCAGGAACGAGAGGCTAGAGACCTTAGGTGACAGGAGAGAAGCTGGTGATCGCATGAGGACCAAGTCCATCCGCTTGTGGACCTATCAACTCTTAACTTCTCTGAAGGTTGAATTAGAATATACATCTTGCCCTGACTGGTTTGGCTCAGTGGATAGAGTGTCGGTCTGTGGACTGAAGGGTCCCAGGTTTGATTCCGGTCAAGGGCATGTACCTTGGTTGCGAGCAGATCCCCAGTAGGGAGTGTGCAGGAAGCAGTTGAGTCCATGTTTCTCTCTCATGGATGTTTCTAACTCTCTATCCCTCTCCTTCTCCCTTCCTCTCTGTAAAAAATCAATAAAATATATATTAAAAAAAGAATATACATCTTTTATCATGTTGAGAATTCTGGAGCTACTCTAGATAATATCTTGTACCTCTCTCCTAATCACATCATTTTTGTCTTAAGCCATTTCAAAATGAGAGATGTATAGTGAAGCATTCATTATGACATGTTGGGGGCCCGTGGAAAAATGCTTGAAAAGCAAAAATTTTCTTTGAGCTGGTAATTTTGTAAACATGAACTGATTTTTTAAAATGCTAGTCATGTTTGGAAATAAAGCATATTTATTTCTTCAGCCACACTCGATGATTACAGGAAAGAATGTGCCTACTTTTTAACCTCTTTGCCAAATCTTTGATATCAGATAAGTTTAGTCATGGTCTCAGAAAACTGGGTGAATCTGGGTCCCCAAAGCAGCAATGTTGCTATTTCCTTCAAACCTAGGATTGTGAAAGAAAAAAGCATCATGAGCATGTGCTAGAGTGAGACTCTGTAATGCCTATGGATGAAGGTTGACTCATAGCATCTCCTTTGAAACTCAAGTTAAAAATTAGCAGTGCAGTGTGACTCATAAATGAGAAACCCTCCAACCACCCCCAGCCTGTCTTTAGTCTCTCAGAATTATTACAAGTCCTGGAACACTATCTTGTGCATTTTGTAACTTCAGGTAGCTCAGGCCAGCATAGCATATAGTACTAGTATGTAAAAGACACTATATCTGTTGAGGTTAATTTAATGAAATTGAATTAAATGGAAGAGAAAGCTCATTTCCTATGGAAGGAGAAACAGAAGGAATCAGCATTTTTGAGGACTTATCATGTGCTATGAAGAAGGGAATGGTACATAGTTGGTAAGATAAGGTATTATGGCAAAGAATGGAGGCACATCAAGAATTTGCAGTCACCCTAAGCGTGGACCACTTAGCTGGAGAATTAGCATGACTCCAGCAATGTGGTTCTTTTACTCTATTTAAAGGAAAAGCAATGTGTAAGAGGTATATGGCTGTGGAAGGAGGAAGCTAACTTTCATTGAGCACCTACTATGTGGCCAATATGTTCATCAGTTTACATAGATTCTCATTTCATTTCCTCGATACCTCTCAAATTAAGTATAAAGTGCAGCGATACTCCATTAGCACCTCTAGTCCTGTGGAGTATCAATGTCTGAGAATACTACATTATTTTCCCAAAGAATACATTTTAATAGCATCCAAGTGATGTAAAAGTGGAATAAAGGTGTGAAGCCACAAACACTTACTGAGCTCTCTATCCACCATCTGTCTATTATCTGTCTAGAAGTAGAGTTAGAAGAGAGAGCAAGAACTCACAGTACTGAAATGCCCTCACTTGGAGGGTCCTAACTCCATCTACCCACATTATTGATCTTACTATCTTATCCTGTGGGTAGTAGCTGACTGGAAAGTGTTACTAATGGAAAACAATTATGATACATTGTCCTGGAAGTAGATGCTGGTTATAGGTACTTAACCTTACCTTCCTTTAACAGGCTGCCACTCTTTTTTCCTTTTCTTCTTCACATGCCCACAGTTATTTTATGAGGCTGATGCTGACACATTTAGAGTACCCTCCTTATGCTAAAAAAAAATAAATAAATTTAGGCTTTGTTTTCCTTTTTGCCCCTATGCAGATGCCATTATTGGGATGACAGCTAGGCACTTTGGTGAATGTAAACTGTTGGAGCATCTAGGGAAGATTATATTTACAGCAGTATATCTTTAATTTTCAACATTTTATAAGGCCATCAGCACTTAATTACCTAAGTTGGTTTCTTATGTGTTGATACTACTGGGGCCCAGAAGAAGACCTCAATTAAGATTTCGGGCCTATAAGCTTACCACTTTCAGAAATACCCTTAGGACCTGGGAAGCTCTCCCTCTGGCAGGGCTTTGGACCCTCAGGGACTATCTCTGCAGTGGTTACATTGCATAGGAAAGGCAGGCGGACTGATTCTGGTTTTGAGACCTGGTGCATCTTTTCCATGCCCCTTCTTCTGGAATTATCTCTTACATCTGCGTGGGTTCCCCTCTTGCTGTTTTCCTTCTGTCACTCTTCTTTCACTGCATCAAATCCTCCAGAAGATGGGAACTCCTTGTTGGCCAGACCCTGTTTTATTCCTCTCAGTTTCTCCAGCATATGCTACACTGGATTCCCCCTAAAATGAATGAATGAAGGGATGACATGAATTCTTTTTATGAATTATAAGATAATCTTTTCCAATCTCTGCTTAGACACAAATTGTTATGGGCTCTCATTCACTCCATCAGGCAACCCTTTAATTTTAGAATTGTTTTTATGCTGCTAATTTAGAGGTATATTTGGCCACCCTGTAATTTGCACCATTTCCCCCTTGTTTTATTCTTTTGAAACCAAAGATACATGGAAACCTCTTAATATGCATCTAGACATGAAATCCTGATCCAATTCACCTCTTTGCAGCCTAAACATAACATAAACATCAACCTTTCCTCATAGAATGTGTTTTTCAGATCCTTTATCAGCCCCTGCCCCCTTCTTCTATAAGTTTCCTGATTTACCACCTTCTCTAATTAAGTGGTAGCAGTTAGCTCTGAATACATTTCTTAGACATAGTTTGACCTTATGACTTGGGTCTTCTCGTCTGCACTGGTCTGACATTCTGCTAACTACTGATCTCAAGTTACCTAGAAAATGCAGGTGTATATATATATATGCTCTTCCTTCCTTAATTGATCATGCTTCTATCCTGAATCCCTTCCTAACTTCCCTGCCACATTAAACTATTTAGAAGGAAACTTCAGCTGAATCTCCCTGTTATTCCTAAAAACAGGTCCAAGAGGTTTTCAAGCTCCTCCTTACATTCTCTCCCAGGTCCCTATCCTGATTGTCTTCTTTGCCTAAAATCAACAATGCTTCCTAAAAATCAGCATTCCTCAACTCCAAACTCACATCTCTATAAAAGCACCATCCCATAGAGACATTAAAATAAGAGATGAAGAAAGCATTACTTACTCTCTTTATGCCTTTTAACAACATGACCATTATCTTCGTCTCATCCCACTATATTTATGCTGTTTTGATCCTGGAAGTTGGGCAGAAAAAGGAAAGTAAGAAATTGCTTTACTCTTCCCAATATTTTTAGTATGTCCTCTTTATTTCTCCTTCCATTGAGCCACATAATGTCTTCTACCCGAGGTGAGATATGAAAGAGTAGGAAGGCTGACATTGTGCACAGTAGAATGGGGATCATCTGTGACATTTAACTGGTAATGTAATGCCTATCAACATAGCCCAAAATTACATTGGTTTCTTTGCCCACCATTAGACAGTGCAGATTCCACTTGTGGCCATGAAAAAAAAAAATCCTATTTGCTTGTCATCTGCTGGTAACTAATGCATTTTTTAGTATACTTTTTACATTAAATATAGTGCTTTTGATAACTGTCAACTATAAATTTGGATTTAGATTTTTTTACTAACTTTGTGATTATTAATTTTATAAGAAAGTTAAAGCAATTTACATTTTGGGGGAGTCATAACTGAAGTGCATTTGTTTTTTTTCTGCCACCTTTTTTAGGCTTTATATGGATCTTGTTATTTCTTTCTTTCCTTTTGAAAAGATTAATACATTGGACCAATGAAAAATGTCTTAATATAGATGTCAAAAATCAAAACTCCTTAAGCAAAACCAAAACGCAAGTGACCAACTGAGAAAAATATTTACAATATGTGGTACTGCCAAAAGAATTATGTCCTTAGGCTTTTAGGACCTCTTCCAAATCATTTGAAATTATGGAAAAGGCCAACTGAATTATGTGAAATATTTATGAAAAGATAATTCTTAAAAAATAAAAAAAATAAGTTTAATAAATATGTGAAAAATACTCAAACTCACAAGTTAGAAAGGAAGTATAAATCACGGTAATAATTTGCTAGCAACTTTTAACCTACAAAATGGGAGGTCTTTTTATCACAATACCTAGAGTTTGTGGATTTAAGTAGAATAGGTAATTTCTTAAGCAAAATTGATAAGTGTGAGACAATATTAAAATGTATACCAAAAGCCATGACAATGTGAATTCTGTGTTCCCTACCAAATTTAAAAATATGTCAAAGAAAATAATAAGAAATATGCGCAAAGATATGTCTCTAATGATATAGAACACTGACATTAAAAATTATAAAAATTTTAACAAATTAAAAATTCCAGTTAATAATTGGTTAAATAAAATAAATTTGTAAATGCAACATGAGGCTGCCATTAGAAATTATGTTTTTGAAGAATGTTTAATAGTCATAAAATATTTCATGTAAACAGCATAAAGAAGTCATATTTCATGTAAACAGTCATAAAAAGTTTGTGTACATTGCAAAACCAATTTGTAGTTTGTGTGTGTGTGTGTATATACATATATGTGTGTAATTGTTTCATATTCAATCTCACTGAGATACTGTTCTCTTTAATAACCTGTGTCAAAATGCCAAGTTTAAAATAGCTACTGTGTATACTGCAAAGACTTTAAAACACATAAACACACACACCACAATACTGCTATAGAGGATCTGAGAGGGTCAAGCAGTCAAGGCAGTCATTTCTTAATAATTTAGCATGTTATTAGTTGTTTGTCACCTTACAAAGCAAAGATTGAAGAACTGTAGGGTAGAAATATAGGCCTAGAATATTTTGATTAGCGTTGGAAGGAAGACAAAGTTCAACATTCATAATATTTTCTTCAAATATTCACTGAGCACCCACTCTGGGGTAAGTACCATAGAGAAGGATGCTCTCTATATCCTTCAAGTTCATAATCTAGTGGAGAGTGTGGGCACTTAGGTGATTATAACTCAAGACAATCTGCAGTGCTGCACAAGAAAGCAAGGCTGGAGGGTCACTCCATTTCAGCATTTGGGCCAACTGAAGGTGCCAGGCATCTGCAAGGCATCAGGGCGCCTCAAGGAAAAAGAGTGTGGAGGCAGTAAAGACCTTGTCTGCCAACTTCACAGTTTTGCCTCTGACCAACTTTATTACTCACATATGCAAAACTGAGCCTCAGGATCTGGATACAAACTCACTGAGCTCTTCTGCAGCATGCCAGTACTGCTAACAGAGCCGTCAGTGTCTCCAGGGAGGGCTTAGGAAGAGTGTGATCTTAAAACACAAATGTAGACCTGTAATAGTGAGGCTGTGTAGTGCAGTTCACATGCACATAACTGAGGGCCCCACTGATCACTCAGTGACAGACCTTGGGCTAATTATTTACATCGTTGAGCTTTGGTTTCCTTCTATTTTGCACGGGGATAATAAAATGTATTTTTAAGTTTGCTGTGAAGATAAGTGAGATTCTTTTTGAGAGTGCTCCTAATTCATGTTTAGCCTTGCACAATTGTTAATTTCCTTCTTTCTTTTTCAGTGCCCATCATGTGCCTTGCCTTAACTGGGATGGAAATTCTGTAGTGTTCACTGTGGTTAATGGCGATTACAGTCTCCTTCATGACTTACTGTTTATTATTATGCCTTACTGTTGTCTAGTTTAGACCAGAATGCTTCCATGATCCACATGTGACAGTTGATAACCTTTGATTAATAATTTGGTGTCATAATTTTTTTAGAATTAAAGATTCAGTAGGATTATTTTTAATAATCAGCTAGACTCTCAGTTGTTTTACATTTGTTCTCCCTTTTGTTGAAAAGTATACCACTTAGATATAATTTAAATTTTTCTGAAAAATTTCCAACCAATGTTGCATGTGCTTTATTCCATTTACTAATGATAAAAAAAATTTAAAATAAAAATATTAATGTTTTAATCTTCAAAAGAATAAACAAAAAATACTTATTTAGGATAAAGAGGGCAAGAGAGAGACAAAAAGAGAAAGAGAGAAAGGATTTTCCAGGTTTCCCAAATCAGAGAACTTAGCTTAAAAAAAAAGTGGTTATTTCATATTCTTTCTCAGGGTGAATGTCAAAAATTTTTTTAAATGTAATCAGTTTATCTATTTTCTAATAATGAAATATTTTACTTACCTTGTTCAGGGTCTATATATTTATGAAAAGTCTAATGATTTAGGTGATGTTTTATCTGTGGATTAGAGTATTTCATTGCTTCTCAAGGTTTTTTCTTTTCAAATTAAAGAGCCTAGAAGAAGATAAAATATGGTTTTAAATTATTGTACTAAAGATTACTTTCTTCCTTATAATTTTTGTCCTTGGGGTTTAGGGATACTTCAATATGCTAAGATATGATGTGGCCATTACATTTACAGATTTAAAAGGTTTATTTAATGTTGATTACAGAGATATGTTGGGACTAGGTAAAGTTATCATAACATCATTCTGTTGGTTTCTCTTTCCTTAAAAATACTAACTTCCCTCTCTGCGGGGCAGGTTCTGATGAGTAATCCTGGGCTAACATAGGAACTGAGCCAAGCACCATTGGCCCCTGTTGTTGAAATGTAGCAGCCAAAAGGTATGTCACAAAATCAAGTAGTGATATTAAACTAAAATATTTTTCATCCCATTGATAAGTGATGTGAGACTTAGTTTCACCTGCTTGAACTACAAGACATCTTTGTATTGCCTATGTCATTTTCTTCTACTTAAATCCAAATTGCAGAATGGTCTGTAAAGACCTTCCTGGGTAAAAGTAGTTTGTGTTTCTGTTTTCAAAGAACAGCAGTGTTGTAGACCTCTTCCTTCAAGATGACTTGGAAGGTAGAATGCTCGTTGTCCTCATGATGATTTACTCTAAAATTACTGTTGGTCTTGGCATAAAAGCAGCCTCAAATTTAAAATAGCAGTCTGAATTTATAGTAGGTGATTTTAGTATTTTAGTCTCTAAATTGAAAACATGTCATGGAATAAACAAATTGAATAATGGTTTAAAGGACTTCACTGGCCATAGTAGTGCTTAGTATGTAGTTGTTGACTGGCCTGTTCTGGTTACCAGTCAATGGAATTTGGAGGGATATGTCAGGACATTTAGTACTGGAAGAGCAAAACTGGAAAACATCTCTCCTTGTTTATACATCAGAAGTGCTGAATATTGACTGCTTCCTTCTATTACAGTTTGGACCTACCCTCTTTCAACAAGTCTGCTGAGCTGTAACCTAGCGCCTCTCTGATAAAAGGCTCACATGTCTCAGAGTTTCCTACAGACTTCATATTGCAATTACCGCCACCCCCCCCCCTTTTTTTAAATGGCATGAGATTTTTAGCTGATGGGGAAAATATTAGAAAGACAACAGTGACAACATGAGTTTCCAAAATTCTGTGAAGTCTGGTTCTAAATGAGTGAGTTTGGGACATCCAAGCTATTTCCTGGTTCTATTTCCATTTTTATTCTCTTGATTCTACTGAAATAGAACCACTGATGGAGAGGCTGGCTGGAAATACTCAAAGTCTTAATACTCCATAAATAGTGCCTTAGTCTGTTTGGGCTGTTGTGACAAAGTACCATAGACTAAGTAGCTTATAAACAACAGACATTTATTTTTTTCCCAGTTCTAGAGGCTGGAAGTCTGAGATCAGAGTGCCAGCATGGTCAAGTTTTGGTGAGGACCCTATACCGGGATGCGGTCTTCTCACTTTCTACTAGTATACCCTCATGTGGTAGAAAGAGAGTTAGCTAGCTCTCTGGTCTCTTCTTAAAAGGACACTAATTCCAATGTCATGACCTAATAATCTTTTCTTAAAGTCCTCACTACAAATATCATCACATTTGGGATTAGATTTCAACATATAACTTTTGGGGGGATACAAACATTCAGTCTGTAACAAGCTGCTTTTCACTCTTTCTACTTTAGTGTTGAGGAATGGAGCTGGGATACAACTTGACTACACTTACACATTTTTCATGAGAAAACTTAAGAGAAATGTGTTTCAACTACTATACACATATTAAATGTGACATGCCAATGTTCACTGAATGCCTACTATGTGCAAGGCAGACATGACTTTTGCCCCCATGGAACTTCCATTTCAGTAGCATCCTCACTATAGAGAATGGGACAGCGGCCTCTTCAACCCTTCCAAGAAGCTTAGCAGAAGGTGCCACTAGCAGGAAAAAATGTATCAGAATGGAGAACAATTGAGAGAATTAGAATGTAGGAGTAGGCAGGAGTGGAGGGGAATAAAAAGAATAAAAAGAAATGTGTGCTTAGTGAGTAGAGGTGAGGATAGGGAGGGGCAATTAGCAATTGTGTTGGGAGCCCCTCAGAAGCCCAGATCAGCCAACCCTTAAGTACACACATTGCTCATTGTTACAACACTTTACACCACTTAAAATGTAAGATCCTGTCCCCACCTAAAGTGTCAGGGGGCTGATATTATCAGTTTTGGCCAGTTACCCAGAGTGAGGCTCAGGCGAGTTGCTGAGAGAAAGCAGCAGAATTTCTGACTGCCAGTCTAGACTATACTTTCCCCACTTTATGGCTCATTATAAAAACATTTGTGCTGACCTGTAAGCCGATAAGTGCCAACTGGAGTCAATTCACTTGAGAGGAAAATTATTTATGATTACAATTTGGCTGCAAGGCTTCTTTAGTGTTTCTGCTATCCTGAATCAAGAATTGAAGTTAGCAGAATCAAAAACTGCATTTTCTCACCTCTGTGGAAAAGGTAATTAGTAACTTTACTAGATCACAATAGATACTTGTCCTCAGACATATCCACAGAGCACTGTCGCTTAGCTTTTCCCTAATCAAATAATGTCTTTGCTCCCTAACTCATCTTCCCGTTAAACACACTTCTCTACAAATTTTTCATTTTCTTTAAAAAGGCTTTCTGGTCTGTCTGGGTTATGTATTGACCTATTTATTCTCTGTGTGTGTGGTTTCTGTGACTCCTTTTGGCTAAAAAATTTAATGACTGAGTCTAAATTTTCATCTCTGAGCATAATGGAAATCCTTACTAAAATGCATATGCACCTGTTTCACCTCCAAAGTCCTCCTGAGTTTGCCTAACTGTGGTCGTTTAGCTCAGTAGATTGGATTGGGCTAACGAGGCCTAAGTTATGATTTTGATGCTTAGTTTGGTGACAGTTAACACACATATCCCACAGAATTGACTGTTCTCTAAACCTGGAGAGGTACCTAGCACATGTATGACCATGGTCTGGGAGGACCAGATGAGAGAATGAAGGCAAATCAGAATAAATCTGTCATCATATAAACAGCACAGTTGTAAGCCTTCTTAATGAGGTGTCTCATCTTGGTAGAAACTTCTTTGCATATGAATGTGACTGCATAAATACGTGGTGGATGCATCTGCAAGTTTTTAAAGTGAGAACTTGACAGGTTTGGGCTAGTCCCAGAAAGCAGATTAAGCAAAATTACCATGGTGCCAGTACACGGGTGGAGTTTCCATAGAGTTAGGCCACTGCTGCTCAGTTTCCTGCCTCTTCAGCCATGGAAAAAAACAAGCGGCCGTTTTCTTCATAAACCATTGTATAAATGACTCTATGGGCTCAGGGGTAGTCAGATCCAAAGCACTTTGCAGAAAGGTCTTCTCTCTCTATGGAGAAACCAAACCTTCTGGTTGGTTACCCCATAGAAAGAAAACAAAAGGGAACTTTCTTGCCCTTTAAGGTTTTAGGGGACAGGACTTCAAAACCTATTGAAAAGATACAAATAAGTCAACAATTGAAACATAACAAAATATATGTACCTAAATAAAATCAGACACAGGTACCTCAAGTGTGTTGCACACTAGAGCACCGAGTGTGAACTGTGGAAATACATTTCACCAGTACCACTGTGTGTTCCATCTTAAAACCAGCCAGACAAAAATCTCTTCTCAAACTTAACCCTTTGTAGCTACTGGTGCCCTAATTCCCTCACAAGGACTGCAAAGTACACAAATCTGGTTTTCTTTCTGGACATGTGGTAGTATTGTATTTCACTGCCTTGTGTGGCCATGTGACTTCCTTTGGTGAGTGAAAGAGAGTGAAGTGGCAGGTACTGCTTCCAGGAGAAAACACTTAATTGCCATTGTGAGACACAGCAGTTCTCTTTTTCTTGTTGCAGGAATTGTAAAAGCTTGTGTTGAGTGGAGCCTTCTGTGGTGAGCAGAGACCCCTGAATTAGACATGTAGCACAATGGAAAATAAACCTTTGTTGTATTAAGCCACTGCAATTTGAGAGTTATTTCTTCCTGCAGGATAACCTAGACTATCCTGGATGATTCAAATGCTATACTCACATTTTCTCCATATCTGGCCTTTCATTCACTCCTTACCCCTAACATCAAATAAAGCCATGGTCGAAAGGTCACAGAGTTGCCACAACAATGATGGCTTCAGGCTTTATCTCACTGTACACCTTTGCTGTGTTAACACCACTGACCACTTCTTCCTTAAAACTCTTTTCTGCCTTGGTTTCCATGACATTATGCTTTCAAATCACTTATCATATGATGGATTATTGATTTCAGGTATACAGCTCAAATAAATCTCATTTACTCTCTAAGTTTTTAACTAATACAGGATGTCCCAAAAATGTATACACACACTTTAACAGCTGGTAGCTCAATTTAAAACATGAAATGTATTTTAATAAACACTGCCTTTATAATTATTCAAAGTATGTGCATTCATTTTGGGGGGCACACTATATGTATGTAGCTAATATGCGGATGACTATTAAATACATACTTCCTGCTCCAGTTCATACCCTGCAGCATAGACTTGTACATACAAAGGTCATTCAAAGGCAACATGTCCACAACTGAGGCCATCTCTCCTCTCAGACCTTATCATTCTTCAAAGTCACAAAATCATTAACTGAGAATCTTATTCAATTTCTGTCTCTGTCAGTGATGGCTCCCCAATACAACTTGTGACCAGATGTTATTACTTCTGTTTCTAAATTTCATCTTCCCATATCTTTCTTTTCATATTCTCCTCCCATCACCAAGTCTATAATCCAAGTCCTCACAGTTTACCTACCAGGTTTCTTACTAGCTTATGGATCGGTCTTCCTACATCAATCCATTCTCCATGGGGCCTTTAGAGAAATCTTTCTACAATACATTTCATATGTATGTTCCCTTACTTAAAATCTTTGATGTCATTTCATTACATTAGAGTTAACATACAGACTCTTTGCAGGGTCCTTCTTAGCTGTCTCTATATAACAGATTGGTTTCATCACCTGTCACATACCCTTTACACTCCAGACATGCTGTTCCTCTTCTAGTTTCCTGAACCATGCTCTCTCTCACCTCTATGTCTTTGTATATGTGTCCCCTGGATATAGACTTTATTCATCTAGATAATGTCTACTTTTTATTTTAAAATCAATCTAATAATTTTCTCTCCCAAAAAGCCCTTTCTATTCTTCAGCTATGGATTTTAGAGGTCTGTCTCCATGGTCCCATAGCACTGAAAACTGATGGGTGGAAGGCCATGTACATATCGGGTTTTCCTCCAAAACTGTGTGTTGCTCAACAGTGTAAGCCCAACTTTCATCTCTATATTCCTTGAATCTCTCAAATGCCTGACATGCATTAGGTAGTAATAAATGATTGGTGAATGAATTAACAGCTGATGGATCTGGAAGGCCAGGATTATAAGCTTTACTTTTTTAACTGAAGAACTTTTGGGGGTAATTATAGACATTTCAGAAGGTGATAATATTCAAATGATACTTGCAGAGGGTAATTAGAAAGGAATGAAGTAGTCATTTGAAATTTTCTAGAGATGGTGTGAAGTCTGGTTTTGATAGTAAGAATGGGGAGGAAATGAGAAGCTGTAGGACTATGGTTTTTAATTCATTTCATTTAATTCATTTAATTCATTTTGGTTAGAATTTCATTTTTAACAATTCTCACTGTAACTCACACATACTATATTAAATGCTAATATAGTGTTGAAGGCAGAGTTATTAAATACTAGTTCTTTGTCAATTCAACAGAGGGGAAGCCAACTTATTTGAAGAGGTAAACTTTTATGTCTTAAATTTCAATCTTAACAAAGTCTTCCATGGTTTTTTAAAAAATTAATGTTGTCTTAATTTTGACATGTATGAAATCAGCTAATGTACTTAGCCTATATCTAATATGTCTTTGGTTTTCTTTCTTACTCTCTTTATTGGAAATTTTAACCACTTCTCTTATTCTAGCAAATATTCTTGACTATTTTATTTTAAGGACTTCTGCCTTTATTTCTTCTTCTTCTCCTTCTCCTTCTTATTCCCTCATTGGAATGTCCGAGGGGTTCTGGAAATGGAGAGATGGTGACTGGAAGTGGTTGGCTTTTACAAGAACCACACAGTGGGTGAGGAATAAGCCTCCCAACACTTACTGAATTCTGTATCCTCCCAATTATTTCAGGGCTGGCAGCTTGCTTATCTTTAACAAAAGTCAGGCATAATTTCAAATGTCGTATTGCACAGAAATCACTATCCCTGTCACCAGAAAAGAAAAGAGAGAGAGAAGAGAGATGCCTTCTTATATCTGGAATCTGGCATTGTCAGCCATTTGGAACTTGCCTCCCAGACTCTGTCTGGCCTTGGCTTGGAGAAGGCAGGGTTGCTGTGTAGCACAAGGAGGTGCAAAAACAAACATGGGCACAAAACCAAATACTTGACTGCAAGAAGTGTTCTGAAAGTTATAAAAGTGAAATACTACTTCCAGCTGTCACTTTATGCAAGGATTAACTTGAGCTAAAGTGGCTTCAGAAACTAAATAAGAAAGTGAATTATTCATTACAGTACCTGTGAAACTTTCAGAAGATGCCTGGGTTTTCTACTGATGGATTACTCATGATCCTTTTGTTTATTCATTTACTTATTCACTCACTCATTCACTTGTCTTCATGCATATACTAGTATTTGAAGAGATGTTGCTGCTACTAAAGATGGATAGCAAAGCTTTCTATTCTTTTCTTCTGTAGCCAAGACAACCTGCCCCCTGGTAATTCTTCCTTTAATACATATAGGGTGGGGCAAAAGTAGATTTATAGTTGTAAGAGAAACATAGAGTGTATTCCAGGATTATTATTTATTTTTGTATTATTTTCCATATGAGCAATTGTAAACCTAGTTTTGCTCAACTCTGTATTGCCTCTTGTGGTGGCTCCCTCTTGGCCTCATGATCTGCACAAAGCAATGTTGCTGAAATGAACATTATCATCGAATAATCATAGTGTAAGTGCATTGAATACAACCAAGTGCATATTAAGACTTTTTGATAGGCTATGTTTAGACAAATGTGTTCCTACCAATGTTTTCTAGCTATTGTGTCAATTATGCATAGCTCTTCTTCATATTGTTCTACCAAAGACATTCCTGAGTGGCTCAACATCCATAAACTGACTAGATAATGCATTATCACCCATACTCACACAACCACTATACTTCTGGGTATCTTCCCATTGGCTCAGTTTTTACTCAATTTCAAGGCCAAAAACAGCTCTAAACCATGTAGCAGAGACATAAAAGGTGACATAGACACATTTTGCACTGCCCCAATCCTATATCTGGCTTTCATTTTTTAACATTTCCATTGCTGCCTAAAACTCATATAGATATGTTACTGGTTTTGAGGGGTGTGGGGTAAAAAGATATATTTTCAAATACCGTTTAAGTATAAACACCCAAGTCTTTTTTCCTATCATCTAGCTTGCTAAAATAAGGTCCCAACTGAGTCTCTCTCAAACTGATTGCCTTTATTAGAATTTGATTATTCATGACTGCGGGAACTCTTGAAGCACAGGCTTCACTTATTACTGCTCTCGGAGAATTCCCACATGTGGACTCAAGAACTATGCACGAGGAGGAAAATAGGCTAATCTGACCATAAACATGGAGCCTTCCTAAAACTGTGTAAACACTGACAGAGGTATTTCTCAAAGTCTGTGCCAGAAGGAAGGCAATATTTTTGTGAAGTATGTGAACATTCATGCAAATTCAAAGCCTTCATTCAGCCTGAGGAATTTGTACTAAGCAGTATGTCTCATCTTGTGCCAGCTAACACCCAGGGTAATATTCTGCAAAATTAAATATTTTTGCTAATGGTATTGTTCCTTAACTATTTAAAAATATTTTCTAATAAAGGAAAATGTCAAGTAATGAGTAATATTTTATGCCATTCAGCCATTATAATCTTGAGCTATATAATGAAACTCACAAACTCACCATAACTTTCAACAGTCTTGAGCTTAACAATCATACTGTACAAGGGCCTAGAGCTACCCTTTGTCCTTTGCTTATAGGTAACATATACAGGCATTAACTGTATAGGCTCTTTGCAATTTGTTTTAAATTTTTCGTTGACAGCATGAAGTTTATTTTTTTAAAAAATATTTCAGAAAAAAAACTATCAGACATTTTTGTGATGTGAGAACACTTAAGAAGGAGAAATCAGTTATATTTTTATCAAAAAAGTATTGCAAATAATTTCACATTCATGAGTCAGAGATGTCCTTAATGAAGAGCTTACAATTGTGAAGAAAAAGAATGGAAATGTTTGTAATTTCCATAAAGGAAAT